CGAATTACTGGGAGATGGGAAATAAGTAAAAATAAAAAAAAAAAACAATGTAAAATTCAAATTCAAAATGACCTGAAATACAAAGGTTTTATTTGATCCAAAGTTTAAAGTTTAGTAAAAAATTAATAAATAACGTTTAGAAAGTTTTTAATGATAACGGTACGTTCCTAAATGATAACGTACCCGTGTTCCGGTCAATAATTTATAAGAATTGAATGAATGAGTACAAATGATGAGATCTAAAAAAAGTAAATAATAATAATAATAATAATAATAATAATAGAAGAAGCAAAAACAGATGAGTTAAGTTGAAACGAATGTACTAAGATACCCAAACCTATTGTGCTTTCCTCGGATGTACGGGTATAACATAGGTATTTAGAACATTGCTTCATTAGTGAATAACTATTAATTTGTCATTTACATTGACAAAATTATTAAGAGGGAAATAATTTAATATAATTTAGAGTTTTTAAATGGTTTAAGAATAATTTAGAATTTTTAAATGCAACCAAAAATTTCCCTATTGAGAGATTTTAGAAATTAACAAAAGTTACATATAGGTCGAATTTTCATAACGTCGAAATAACTTATCTACGAAAACTTACAAAATATAATCAAATTCATACAATTAAAGCGGTATATTTCGAAGTTTTCGCATTCTTCTGGATTAAACGCATCACCAGAATCCTGTAGAACGTCCACCTGGTGGATTCAAGACTTTTGTGGATGCACGCATACCATGTGTCTCCTCCAATGTTGCTGCAAACACTACCAAATTCATGAATTGATAAGTTGAATAAAATATGAGAAAAGTTCTAATGTAAAGCAAATACAAAATTTTTTAGCTCCTAAAAAATGCTTGAAATCGAAATTTTTGTAAAAAAAAGAAAAAACGGAAACAAACCGGAATAAACTGAATCAAAATGTTGCTTCTGTACGTTTTTCACAGGAAATGCACGGCTACTATCACTCAAATTCTCTTTGAGATGTGAATGATTGTTGAACGGTATTATACCTTTATTTATGCCACCATTAAGTTGCACCTGGATCAATATTTTAATAATCCAGAATTCGTACACATAGTTCCCAGTATAATTAACCAATGAAATAATCATAGTGTTCTGAACTAGAAACTTTATAAATTTGCAAATAATATGAACTAACCCCTTCCATCTGTTTCAGCATACAGTATAAATAGGGAGATTGTGATCCAAGCTCCATCAATTTACCTCGTCCCAAGTCAAACTGAAAAGTTAGTTAATTAATCATCTTGCATGTAACACAAAAGGAAAAAAAACCTAAAATCCGAAACATTTTTCAATATAGGTAATCATTCAATAAGCCAACTAACGAATGAATAAAGAGGATGGCTTACACCTTTTTCAGGAATTTTATATCCTTCCCTCTACATATAATTAAACATATTATCTGATCAAATTAATTTCTGGAAATTCTCGAAGAGATAAAACAAACTTCGTAACAAGCGTAAATGCTTAACGACATTTAGGGATCTCCAATATAACTCGAATAAATAAGATTTAAAAAATACTCACCTTTCCATTATTGTAAGCAATTCGTCCACCGCAAATGGTCATTACAGGTTTCCAGTGGGCAGTCGACATTTTGAATAGCGATGGATGTTGACTTGGAGTGGACGTTTCATGCTTCACGGATAAATTCCACAAAACCAAATCCGCATCTGCTCCAACAGCAATTTTTCCCTAAATTTATCTCAGATAAACAGCTCATTTGCTTTGGTTTCCTTAATGTGGAAATTCAAATCTGTCAAACAGATGAGGTTTTTTTTTTTTTTTGACATTCATCAAATAACAACAAAGTTTGGTGTTTCAATTTTTGAGAATTTCGACAAGAAGAATCAAACTGTTGTTTGAAAAGAAAAAAAACCTTTTTAGGATAAAGATTGAACACTTTGGCAGCATTACTACTGGTAACAGCAACGAAACGCATTGGATCGATCAATCCGGACAACACACCCTTGGCCCACAACATTGACATTTTCTCTTCCATTGCAGACAAAGTATTTTGAGCGGAATTTTCCACGGTCGAATCCTTTCTCCGCATTTCGCGATGACCGGATGTACAGATACATAATGGTATACTGAAAATGCTGATCTAATTATTTTAATTTGTATATTTAAGCAAAATTTTCAACTTTAATAAATCTCAAATGTATGAAATATTGTAGATCAAAAATTTAAATTCTATAAAATGACTCAATGGTTTCAGATTATTATTCTTTACTTTACTTTTCAAAAATCAAAAAAAAGTAGTATTAATCACCTAGAAAGACAAGATATCAACGCAGAAGGTGATGCAACCCATCTCCACGAAGTGTGCAACGCTGAATTGTTTTTTCCATCATCCAATGCTGTTACTGGAATCTAAACATATTCCGAATAATTGTAAAGATAATAATATATGATCGGTTTAAAAAATTCCAAAATTATCCGAATTATGGATTTATTGAAATTTAAGGACTAAAGAAAATGTCTTAGTTTATAAATGATAACCTCTGGTATAACCATGTTATTACGCTGTCGCAGTAAAACTTCAGCAGCTCCTGGAGAAGATAGTGACATCAGAGCAACCGGACAGTCCGTTAATTTGGAAAGTACAGAAATACGATTCACCATATCAGCTTCCAACTGCAATATAAATGGAGTAGTTGACATAATTCTAAGAAAGTTATCTGGACATTTTTGGATTCAAGAAAATCGATGACTCAACAAAATTTACAATAGTATAATTATCAATTAATTCAAGGGTAATAATTCCATCCTTTCATTCTGCCTAATATCTCGAATTAATTTTGTGGTCAGGAATGTAAAACATTATCAAGATATGAAAGAAGAGTAAAGATAGTTGAAGGTACGGTAACAATCCTCCTTAATATTAGCAGTCGTCCAACGGTAGATGTATTACTTGCTTGGCCTTTAATATTATTTCCCAGAAATTCCAGTAAAGATAAATTATTAGATGTTGAAAGAAAAGTAGCAAATAGCATACCGCTTCCGGTCTTGAAAGATAGAAGCATTCCGTCCCACTAACACCAGATGCGCGTACTCGTTTTTCCAACAAAGCAATGATATCCTTATTTTCCGGAATTATACGAGCATGAATCCGAAGACTTCGACAGTACTCGAAAATCTACAATTTGACAAGAACATAATAAAGGATGAACTATGAAGGAAGAAGATATAGTTCTTTACATATAGAAAACGAAATGAAAATAAGAACAAAAAAAAGAAAATTTACGTTAAAAAAAGTTTTTTCAAACATCGATACTTAAATTATTTCTAGTTTTATATTTTGAAATTTAGAAAGCAAAATATGCAAAGGGAAAACAAAAACGAAAATCAAAATCAAAAGAAAAAAAGTAAATGAACAAAGAATTAACCTCAAAAAGTTGTTCATCTTTTTGAACATTAATAATAAAACTGTTAATGCCTTTGTCATGTACCAATGTATTCATTTCTTTTCTTATCATATCATTCCATTCCGAAATTACCACACTGAATGCAACGTTACATGATGATTTTGATTGCGCAACTTTGCACAAACGATCATATGCGTTTATCAATGTTTCATATGGTCTTGGTTGGATAACATCAATTATCTGTAATAAAATAATAAATGAGGGAGACATGAAAGACAGCAAATCAAAGCAAATCACGTAATTGTCATTCAAAGCAAACCACGTAATTGTCATTCAAAAGCAAAACCACGTAATTGTCATTCAAAGCAAACCACGTAATTGTCATTCAAAGCAAACACGT